TTTCTGCTTCCTGCCCTTTCCAGAGAGGAGCCTTGTCCTGTCTGCCCCAGCCCATGCAGCAGACACAGTACAGGCACATTCCGCATCTCTCTTGAGTCAGCAAATACTCACCGGGCAGATGGCATATGTCAGAGGCCAGATGAAACCTTGGGGGCGCAGAGATGACATAAACACGGTCCCAACCCTAACCCGGCAGCTCACACCTGGTGGGGGCAAACACCTGTATTAGTGAACGTGGCACATTCAGTAATGCAAGTGTGAAAAAGAGAGCGGTGCAAGCAGAGAGGAAGCGGGACAGTGATTATTTTTGTAAACGATGCTCTCATCAATGAGACATGGCATGGATTTCACTAGGGACCGGGTCCCTCGTGTGTCTGTGACCCATATCATTGTATTACCCATCACCATCACTGTCACTGGATGGCAGGGCTTTAACAGGTCACCCCAGAGCTGGCATTTGATCAGATCCCAGAAGACACACGCAGGCTGACACCAAAGGAGGAAAGCACTCAATGCAGGTCAGGCTATGCTTTTGGTTTTATATATATTTTTAAAGCGGATTGTTTTCCTAACTCCCAGGACCAGGAAGGTTTTGAAGCAGTACTTCACCAAAGCAGGGATTCTGGAAAATTCTGGGGAGGTCTCAGAGCAGGTGAACTGATTTTTTTCCCCCCCTGGGGTCCCTGACCTATCTGCATGGCCCAGCCCAGTTCAAAAGGAAAGCTCTGACGTTGACTCTGAGTGGGTGGAATAAAGGGAAGCTAAAGCTGGTACGAGTGGTCTCCTCTGGGAGATGAAAATCCAGTCTCACGGATGTTTCGTCCTGGACAAAGCTGCGGTGGGCAATGAAAAATGATACAACGAAGAGCTCTCGTGTCATGCATGTTTGCCAGCGATGCGCATCACATGCATTTTGTCACCTAAACCATCAGGAAGGTATTTGAAAAGCTGGCTGGCACAGTGCAGGGAGTGTGGGCTTTTGATGATCAGACAGACTGAGGTGAGTATCTTGGGAAAGTTACTTAGCTCTCTTTGAGCTTTGGTTTCCTGATCTGTAAAATGGAGATAGCAATAGCTTGTTATAATAATGACATAGTAGGTGCTTAAAAATATTTGTTCATTGTGAAATAATTGTCCGATATAAATTGCTTGGCACAAGCAGGTGCTCAAAAAATGGCAGTTCAGCCTGACCAGCATGGCTCCGTGGTTGACCGTCGACCTATGAACCAGGAGGTCACGGTTCCATTCCCGGTCAGGGCACATACCTGGTTGTGGATCCAATCCCCAATGGGGGGCACGCAGGAGGCAGTTTATCAGTGATTCTCTCTCATTACTAATGTTTCTATCTCTTTCTCCCTCTCCCTGCCTCTCTGAAATCAACAACAAAAAAATTTTTTAAATGGTAGTTCATTCATTGAGTCCTTACTATGTGTTAGATAACTGTCCTACGTAAGGGGAATACACAATTGAACTAAATAAAGCCCCTCAAAGAGCTTAACTTGTGCGTGTGTGTCAGATATTGGACAAATAAATAAGTAACTAGAGAGTGTATTAGCCGATGATGCATTGTAATGGAGAGAAATAAAGTAAGGTAAAAGGAATTGGGAGTGCTGCCAGAGGGCAGGGTACGGATTGTTATTTTTCTAAGCAGCTTGGTCAGGGAAGGCTTTGCTGATAAGTGACATTTGACTAGACCCCTGGGGAAATGAGGGAGTGAGTCAGGCAGCTGTCTGAGAAAGAACATTCTGGGCATTTTGATTCTTTGTGGTATGTTTGTGCTTTTCCCCCCATAGTGAAAGAAAGGGTCACCTTTATTGAATAGTCCTGCAGGTATTGTCCTTGCTAGTTATTATTTGTTTTTCTTTGAGAGGAATAATAGTTTCTATGGTTATGGAAAGGTGTTGGAATCAATTGGAAATGCATAGACCTTTGGTGTACCATGGAATGCATATATATAACATGATTTGATGAGTTTATTTGAGCTTATAGGCTTAATATGAGGATTAGTTTGCTGCTCTGCCCCTTTGAGACTTTGTTCCTCCAAAGAGCATGGTTTTGGGATTTGAGAGCTCCACCCGCAGGATAGATGCTGCATCCCTGTGCAGTAGGGCTACCGCAGAGTGTTTCATGGATGGAAATAGGGCCGGATGCTTGAGAACTCGGTCAAAGTTTCTGTGACATAGGGTGTGGTGAGGCTGGGTCATGGTCAGGGTGGCTGGCTGGGTGTCCCCTAGGTCACCTCAGAAGATAACGTTTACCTCTGTGAATTTACCCCACCTAAGATCTGGCTTTTAGTCTTGCTGCCTCAGAAACCTGATCTGTCTCTGTGGGTCACACGATAGTGACCTTGCTCACCTACACGCCATTCTATTGATTTGCAATGGCCGAGGCACTGTGTGGCATGGCTGGTGTGAACTAAATCACCAGAAGGTTTCCTTGGTGAACATGTAATCAGGGCAGAGAGCTGAGATGCCCACTCATAGGGCTGATCACACACGTTATGGGTGATCTTGCTATTGGGACTACAGAACAAACTACCCCAAAAGTTAGTGGCTTAAGACAGCAACCATTTAATATTTTCTCACATGTCTACGGGTTGGCTGGGCAGATCTGGGTTGTGCTTGGTTGATCTCATCTGGATATGCTCATGTGATTTTGGCCTGTTGATGGTGTGGCCGAGAACTGGCTGCTTTAGGATAGTCTCAGCTGGGATGACTTGACTCTGCTCCATGTGGTCTCTCATCCTCCAACAGGTGAGCCCAACATGTTCAAATGTAAGGTCAGAGTCTAAGACAGAGTGGACACTTGCATGGCATTTGAGGCCCAAGCTTTTAGCTGACATACTGTCACCTCATCCTTGTCTATTGACAAAAGCCAGTCACAAGGCCAGCCCAGAGTGAAGGAGTAGGGAGTAGACTCCACTTCTTGATGGGAGGAGCAACATCATCACATTACAAAGAACATGGATCCAAGATGGGGAAGAAGTGAGGATATTTTTGCAATCTCTTTAGGCTCCTTTTTTTTTCCTGGGCTCTGTTTGAATGGGCAATGGCTGCAACACATTTTTTTTCCTCTCTGTGTTTTCATGGTTGACCTACTTTAGACATATATATTTCTAAATATATATTTTTTGAGTTTTTTTTCAATGTGCCAGGCACATTATAGGCAGGGAAGCCAGCGGTAGAAATAACATGATCCATCTTCATGAAGCATTCATTTTAGTTGGGGGAGACAAATAATATGCAAGTAAACACATAAATGTGTAATGTCAGGTGATGAAAGAACATCAAGGAGGGAAAGGAAGTTGGGGAATGCCTGGTTGAGTTGGGGTAGGGAACTAAGGTAGAGTTGGGGGTGGGCATTTTATATAATGCTTATCTGGGGGAAAGACCTTTCCAGGCAGAAGAAATAAATGCAAAGGACCTGAGGCAATAGAATACTGTCATGCTCTGAGAACAGCAAGCAGACTAATGTAGAATTAACTGAGAGAAGGGGAGCATGGTAGTAGAAGATGACATGAGACAATTAGTGGGGAGCTAGGTAATACAGGGTCGGGTAGGGTCTTGCATAGATTTTGGCTTCTACTCTGAGATAGGAGGCCATTGGAGAATTTTTAAAAATATATTTTTATTGATTTCAGAGAGGAAGGGAGAGGGAGAGAGAGAGAGAGAAACATCAATGATGAGAGAGAATCATTGATTGGCTGAAATGTGTAATGTCAGGTGATGAAAGAACATCAAGGAGGGAAAGGAAGTTGGGGAATGCCTGGTTGAGTTGGGGTAGGGAACTAAGGTAGAGTTGGGGGTGGGCATTTTATATAATGCTTATCTGGGGGAAAGACCTTTCCAGGCAGAAGAAATAAATGCAAAGGACCTGAGGCAATAGAATACTGTCATGCTCTGAGAACAGCAAGCAGACTAATGTAGAATTAACTGAGAGAAGGGGAGCATGGTAGTAGAAGATGACATGAGACAATTAGTGGGGAGCTAGGTAATACAGGGTCGGGTAGGGTCTTGCATAGATTTTGGCTTCTACTCTGAGATAGGAGGCCATTGGAGAATTTTTAAAAATATATTTTTATTGATTTCAGAGAGGAAGGGAGAGGGAGAGAGAGAGAGAGAAACATCAATGATGAGAGAGAATCATTGATTGGCTGCCTCCTGCATGCCCAACATTGGGGATCGAACCTGCAACCTGGGCATATGCCCTGACCAGGAATTGAATCATCTCTGAGCCACACTGGCCGGGCCCATTGGAGAATGGGCATAGGTTGTCATCACCTGATTTATGTTTTATAGTGATCACTTATTGAGTTTTAGACCTTAGAATAGACTCGTAGGGGGTCAAGAGTGAATACAGGGAATTTAATTATGAGACCTCTACAATGTTCCAGGTGAGAGGTGATGGCAATTTGGACCAGGGTGGATAGTGGCTGATGGTGAGAGAAGGCCAAGTTCTGGATATATTTCATGATAGAGGAGATAAGACTTGCTGGTAGGTTAATTTATGAGAGAAAGAAAGGAGTCAAAGATGACTCTACATATTTTGACCTGAGCAACTGGAAGGAGTGGCCCTTTACTGAGAGGGAGAAGGAATAGTTATGGAGTTCAATAGGCCATCCAATGGGAGATGTTAGGTAGGTAGTTGTATCTTCTATCTACTTAACAGAGTTGAAGCAAGGGCATATATATATTTGAGTATCATTCCCACACATTCCCATATTACTTATTTGTTTCTTTGATGAGCCAAGTCACTACCATATCACCAGTGCCCAGAATATTGCCTGGCACATAGTATGCGCTCAATGAATTTTTATTGAATGAATGAATGGAACCATTTAATCACCAGAGGTGACTGCAAATCTTTGCTTCAGTGGATCTTGAAGTGTAACTCCTGAAGTTCTTCCCTTTCTTTCCAAGGTCCCCTGGGAGCCTCACTGTGGATCTCTTGGTCTAAAAACAGACTTTAAATGTGAAGGCTCCAATTGCTTATATCTTACAGAAAGCAATGTGTGATGACAAGTAAGAAAGAGAAATGAGTGGAAACCAAAAAATAGCTCATACTTTCAAAAAAAAGGAGACAAAATCCTCTGGAGAGAGGTGGCTGAAATTTAGGGGTGTGATGTTCTTGGTTTATTATTGTACTGCTCTTAATTTAAAAGTAAGCAGGATCAGGGGAAAATCTTGAAGAAGGGAGACATTTATTTAAATCAATTTTATGCCAAGGGGGAAAAAAATCCCATATCTACAGCATCTTGAATAATGTGCTTCTGTTTATAAAAGGAGAGAAGTAGGCAATATAACCTTATATGAAAAGGGGAGGGCTGGAATGACTTCAACCTCAGACTTGAGGTGCTGTCCATTCCCTCCCCATAGTGTGGCTGAATATGGTGAGTGTGAGTGTGTGAGTTTTGTTTGCAAGGATATTGTGAGGGGAGGGGAGGGGTTGCCTCTGTGTGTGTGGGGGCAATCAAGGAAAAACATGATTGAAGCCCAGAAGTATGAGAAAGATAGCAAATTGGCCTCCATTTTTTTTATATATATTTTATTGATTTTTTACAGAGAGGAAGGGAGAGGGATAGAGAGTTAGAAACATCGATGAGAGAGAAACATCGATCAGCTGCCTCCTGCACACTCCCTACTGGGTACGTGCCCGCAACCAAGGTACATGCCCTTGACCGGAACCGAACCTGGGACCCTTGAGTCCGCAGACTGACGCTCTATCCACTGAGCCAAACCGGTTAGGGCTGGCCTCCATTTTTAGGTGTGTGTACTAAGCCTGACCATGTAGGGCAGAGGATGAAGTAGTGGATGCGCTATCAGACAGAACTGGGTTTGAGCTCAAGCTCCATTACTTTATGGATGTATAAACACAAGCGATTTATTTCATATCTGTGAGCCTTGGTTTCCCCTCAGTTCTAAGATGATGGCGATGATGACGATGAAGCTGATGATGGTGGTGGTAGTAATAACACTCAAGTATTCTTCAGTTTCCTTCTTG